CGTCCCGGGCCCGCGGCGGCGGCGCGGCCGGCGCCCGGGCCGCGGCCGGCGGCGGCGCGGCCGGCGCGGGCGGTCGCGGCGGCGCCGGCGCCTCGGGCCGCGGCGGCGGCGCGGGCGCGGGGCTGTCGTCGAAGCCCCAGGGGTCCGGCGCCGCCGCGCCGTCGTCCGGGTCCGCGAAGACGTCGGGCCGGCGCCGCTTCTTCCGCGCCTTGGCGGCCGCGAGGGGCTCCTGGAAGGCGACGGACGGGTAGGCGCCGATGTGCTCGTCGAGGGCGTCCGGGTCGTAGAGGTCCGCGTAGCCCTCGAGGGCCACGAAGTCCGCGACGTCGCGGAGCGCGCGGGCGCCCAGGCTCGGCTCGGGCGCGGCGCCGCCCGCGGGCGGCGGCGGCCGGTTCGCCGTGCCCCGCTTCACGTTCCGCCGCCAGGCGTCGGCGAGGCGCGGCTTGTAGGTCAGCGGCGCGCCGTATTTCGTGGAGCGCGGGTAGTCGCGCCAGGACGCGTCGCCCTTGTACTCCGCGGCCGGGTTGAACTTGGCGCGCTTCCGCTTCGCCTTCGCGGAGTTGCCGCCGACCTGGGACGCGTGGTAGGCGCCGATGGCCAGCTCCCGGTCGACGCGGTCCGGCCAGTTGGGCACGAGGCGCCGCGGCACCATGCGCTTGTTGAGGTTCTGGTGGAGCCGGAGCCCCCTTAAATCGCGCAGGGCCGCGTTGACGCGCGCGGACTTCTCGCCGCCGGCCTCGAACTTGCGGTCCTCGCCCGGCCCCATGAGCAGCACGACGCGCCCCGCGCGCTTCCGCGCCGTGCGGCCCATGCGCTGCACGAGGCGGATCGGCGACCCGACCTGTGTGGAAATCAACCAGTGGAATGGACGCGTCCAGCAAAACTTCAAACCTCTCTATCTCGGTCAAATCGAAGTCGATTCGGCTGATTTTTGGACGAATCGATTGCTCTCGTCGAGTTCTCGAAGCACAGCCGAAGAGCTTTCATCGAAACTGTCGCATATGTGCACATTGAAGTCGGGTTGAAGATTTGATTTCCACACAGGACCCGACCTGGTCGTAGAAGACGCACATGTCGACCGCGCCGATGTCCAACCCCTCCTCCGCGATGCACGTCGCCACGAGCACGTTCGTGTCGTCGGCCAGGAAGCGCTTCACCGCCGCCTTCTGGTCGTCCTGCTTCATGCCCGACGCGCCGCCCTGGCCCACGAAGCGCTGCACGCGGAGGCCCGGCTCGCCCGCGAGCGCGTCGCCGATGGCGTCGACGGAGTGGCGCGTGCCCGTGAAGACCATGGCCCGCGAGCTCCGGCCCGCCTCCCGCGACCGCGCGAAGTGGTCCACGAGCAGCTCCCGCAGCTTCGCCGTCTTCGGCGCCTCGCCCGCGCCCCGGAGCACGTCGACGGCCCTCTTGAACGGCGCGCCCGCCGCGACCCGCGCGCAGACCTTGTCGAAGGGCTTGTCGGAATTCGCGTCGCAGGCCGCCAGGGCCTCGAGCTTGTCGAGACACCCCCCGGGGCCGTAGGCCTTCAACGCGTCGTGCGCGGCGACGAGCTTGTGCGCGAGCAACTTGTCGAAGAACAGACCGGAGTGCGAGCACTCGGCCGAGAAGACCTGGAACGCGGACAGCTGCGCCAGGTCGCTCGAGTGCAGCAGCCGCGCGGCCTTGAGCCGCCCCAGGGGCGGGCCGGCGATGGTCTGCAGCGCCGCGGCGGCCTCCGCGAGGTGGCGCGCGGCGCCCTCCGCGGGCTCGCACGTCACCTTTTCGACGAGCCGCGCCTGGGCAGCAAAAGGGTGATTCAACGTCGCTTGAACGTGAGTGTTCCGCGCGCGCGCGTTCCAGAAAAGCATCCACGCTTCGAGGCCGTTCCAAGAGATGATCGCTCGTCCAAAAATCAGCCGAAACGAGTGGAAAATGGCCGAGATCGAAGCCTTTGAAGTTGGGAATTTCGCTCTCTTTTGCTGCCCCGAGTCGCGCGTGCGTGTGGGGCGCGACCTCCGCGTCCGCCTCGCTCCGCACCTCGACGTGGGCGATCCTCAAGTTGTCGATGACGGCCTGGACGCCGGCGATGTCGCTGCCCGGCGTCGCCGACAGCGCGAGCACGCGGAAGTGCGACTGCCGCTTCGCGATCGCTCGGACGACGCCGCAGTACGCGTACTTTTTCAACGCGCGGTGGGCTTCATCGACGACGACGAGGACGACGCGCGAGCAGTCGAGGGCGCCGTTCTCGAGGTCGTTCTGCACCGTCTGGGGCGTGCAGTAGAAGACGCGGCGCTGCGCCCAGAGCTGGCGCCGCCGCCGCTGGTCGACGGTGCCGTTGATCTCCGCCGTGTCGCCCTCGGGCAGGCCCACGACGCCGTGGCACGCCGCGACCTGCTGGCCGACGAGGGGCCGCGTCGGCGCCATGAAGATGATCTGGCCCTCGGGGAACCAGCGGTGGTAGTTGTACATGAGCACCGCCGCGATGAGCGTCTTCCCGAGGCCCGTCGGCAGGCACACGAGCGTGTTCTTCAGCAGGCACTGCTTCACGATGCTCTCCTGGTACGCGCGCACGGGGTAGTTCGTCGGGTAGAGCCACGTCGACGCGAGCGCCGCGTCGATGCGCGCCACCCAGCGCGAGCACTCCTCCGCGGGCCGGTCGCCGCAGCAGTCCGCCTGGCGCGCGAAGGCGCCGGGCGCGTCGCGGTCCATGGCGCCCTGAGCGCCGTTCGCGAGCCGGAGCGCCATCGTTGCGGGTTCGTAGAGCGCCTACACACGCCGACGAGCGGCGGTCCTTTGAACCATGCGAGAATGGTCGAGCGCACCTTCTCCTCGTTGATTTCAACTTTGGCCGCGGGCAATTCACCAATCGAGCCTTTTCGTCGGCGCATCAGCGGGCAGCTGCGGCGGTCTCAATCGTTCGCGCCATGGACTGCTCCTGGGAGCACGACCGGAGGTGGTCCTTCGACGACGAGCCAGCCTCGGACGGAGCCCAACGCAGCCCGCACATGAGCACCGCTCGTGTCACGCCCACCAACCATCTGCTGAAGCTATCGACGCCGCGGCGCGTGTCCTTCTCATGGGAGGACTCGCCGTCGAAGCGGCCGACGAGCCCGCGCCTCGTCATCTTCAACGAGTGCTCCATCATCGACTCGAACGACCCCAACAGCCCGAAGCTGCAGCTCCTCAAGTTGCCGCTCCTCGACAACGTGCCCCCGGCGCCGAAGCGCCAGCGCGTCGAGGGCGCGCCGCCCGTGCGGCGGCCGCCGCCCATCCGCGTCGAAGCGGACCCGAACCTCGACCTCTTTAACATGCTCTGGCGGCCGACGCCGACGCCGGACCAATGACGGAAAGGTCCCGATTCCGCGCGTCCGCGCGGTCCGCCGCGCGCTCTCGACGAGCCGCGGCCCCGCGCCAGGCCTGTGGTTCAGTGCGAATCCCCCCCCCCTCTGCTGCTCTGTGTGTGTGTGCCAGCCGTCGACGGCCCGTGTTCCCACCAAGTCCCCCCCCCGCGAAGGCCCCGCTCGTACGCCCACGTTGTCCCAGCTTGTTAACTCGATCCGCCCGCCTTACTCGTCGTCCTCCGAAGCGACGACCAGGTCCGGGTCGGGCAGGCTGTCCTCGTCGGAGTCGCCGCCGTCGTCGTCGGAGGCGTCGTCCGCGCGCGCGCCCGCAGCGAGTGGCTCGGTCTCGAGAGTGCCGCATCTGTGGCAGCGTCGAGGCGTCCAATCGCGCATCGCGCAGCGACGACGAGTCCGCCCCCCGCGTCCTGAGAAACGCGCGCGCCGTCGAGGCGACTCTCTCCGAGGCCTTGGGGGGTCACGACCCGATCCCACCGCCTCTCTCTTTTTATCGTTCGCCGAGAGCACTCCGACTCGCTCGGGAGCCATGCGGGCCCCTTTCGGGCGCCGGCGGCGGAAACGCGGTCGACGGCGCCCTAGACTCGCGGCGCCATCCATAGGTACGATGCGGTGGCTCGCGGCGCTCTGCGCCGTCGCCGCGCGCGCCGCGGGCGAAGCCGCGCCCGCGTTCGTCTTCGCCGGTAAGCCGCTCCGCGGCCTCGGGGCGTCGAGCGGCCCCGGCGAGGCGCCGGCCTACGACGTCGCCCCGACGACCGTGGAGCGCCTGCGCGGCGCCGCGACGGCCCACGCGCCCGCCGTCGCCGTCTTCGTCGACGTCGCCGGCGGCGGCGCCGCGGCCGTCGTCGACGCGGCCGCGCGCGGCGCGACGCCCAAGCTCGCGGCGCACGTCCTCGCGAAGAGCTCCGCCGTCGCGCCCTTCGCCGCGCCGGCGCCGGCCGCGGACGCCGTCGCCGTCGACGCGGCCGCGGCCGCCGTCGCCGCGGGCGTGACGCGCGTCGCCGCGCCGTCGTTCGACGCCCTCGACGCGCGGCTCGACGACCTCGTCGCCGCCGCGCAGCGCGCCGCGGGCGGCGACGACTACGTCTTCGTCGTCTCCGCCGCCGAGGCCGCGCCGCGCGCGCCGGCGGCCGCGGCCGCG